TCTATCTATCTATCTATCTATCTATCTATCTATCTATCTATCTATCTCAGCCATGGCATCCCAATCTTCCCTATGAGCATGGTGGCAAAAGGGATTTAGGTGAACCTCCCAGGAGTTTGAAGAAATCAGAGTTTGTATTCCTTCTTTCCCTCTGGATTCTTTGGCTGTTCTTTTGAAAGGAGCTGGCATTTTCGCTTCTTGTCTTTCCTACCCAGCCGATACTGAACTGGGTCCTTTTTTAATGAAACACTTGATTGTCTTGCTTCGCAGCTGGTTCAGTCCCCATTTGCATGGCAGGAGGGGTGAAGGAAAGGATGGAGCAGGATCATTCAGGGTTGGTTAGGCTCCTGGTGCTGGTGGGGGGGGGGGAGGAAGGGATTTACCTCATTTTCCCCCCACCCCCTCCAGTCCTGGCTTAGAAAGGGACATGCTTGGAATTTTAATGCACCTTCTAATTACAGAAAGCTGGTCCTGGTTTTGTGGCATTGACGCAATCTGTTCCTTCACCACCCTTTCGCCTAATTTCTTCAGAGAAATGGTTCAGCTAAGAGACCGAAACACCATTTGTTGAGAGTCAGAAAGAGCTGTTAGTGTGGAGTACATGGGGACAAAAAAGAGAGCAAAAGGGAGAAAAGGAGAGCGGGAGAGAACCAGATAGGTATGTTGATCAGATTAGGAAATAGCAATGCTCATTAATAACCATCCACCATCCTGCCCCCATCTGAATCCCTAGTGTGTGACTTGCTGGTTTGAATATGGCTATACTTTACCCACGTGAGGTCTTTGAATAACACACACACACACACACAAACACACTGACATGGGGGAAGAAGGGAGACACCAACAGACTAGAAAAGTGAAACAAAGTTTGCATGGAGGCAAATTCCAAAATCTCTAAGATGTAGATACCTCACCTGCATCTGCACCAGGGATGGGTTGTACAGCACTTGTTGGACCAAGATATTGTTGCAATATCTTGAAAAGTGGGACGGAAAATACTGAATACTGAAATACTGATACTGAACTGGTTCAATAGGGGGGGGAAAGGGCGGGGGGTTAAATGCCTGCATTATCCTTGGTGGATCAGAAATTATTTGTATGTTTGAAAAGACCATCATAGATCCAGTACCACTTTAGATTGCTTCAAACAAAATGAGTTTTTCCCCCTCTCATAATGGAGTTAATTCACTTCCTATTTTTATTTGTAGTAATAAGTCGTACAAATAAAGTAATGAGAAATTATGATACGATTTTCAATGAGTACACTAGACTACAGTTAAGATAGGAAGAGCCTTTTGTGAGGTTGTACCACCTCAAAGAAAATGTAGGAAGTAGATTAAATGAAATTTTATAAAACCAAGAAAGTAATGAAAGCTGAAGGAAATTGCTGGTACGAATCAAAAGATGGCCCAGGGAGTTGGAAATGAATAATTACTTTGCACTTCCAGGGGGTGGGGGAACTGGAAGCAATGGGCTCCAAGCCATAGGAAAACAGCACAGTGCCATCACTACTAATAGTAGTATGGAAAAAAAATAGCACAATAGGAAGTTTGTGCAAATGGGATACCACCTATTTCATTTAAATCAATGATTTAAACTTGCTTTAAGAGTATGTGATGGCTTTACAATGAATAATGGATTAAAAATGAATAAGTCTGGTGACAGTGCCAGATTTTAATGGATGAGAGAGTATGTAAAGGTGTGTCAGGCCTCCCTTGACAAACTGGACAGGAGATAGGCACAACTGGCCTTCAGGGTTGAAGGAACTTCTAATAAGTAGATTGATTATAGAAAAGTTAATGAAATCATTGAGAAAAAGAAAAACTCCAGGGATTGCTTTGATTCAAATGCATGTTTTATTTATATTGAAATCAAGGTTCCATTTGTATAACTTTTTTGTTTAACTTTTTTGTTTAATCCCATCCTACCTGAAAGAGGTTTGAAGCCAGTCTTTTAGGCAGAAGAGATGATTTTTTTAATCTGCCCCATTTTTTTTGAAACAAACTGGATTTAAACTATTTTCTTCTGTCGCTAGGACAGCTGGCTTTTGTAGGCCCAAGAAACATTGTGGAACATTTGTATAAGGAGATTAGAAATAAAGGATGCAGGTTAAACTTCTGAAGATGTTCCCACTGCCAGAAGATTGGCTATCCAGCTTGTGCGAGAAGACCTTCTTCTTGGGTCACAAGTTAAAGAATGTTCTCCCAGTGAAGTTGATTTAGCCTTCACTCTCCCAGTATCTGTGAAAGAAATCAACCCTGATTTGGAAGGAGAAATACTGAAGCTGAAGCTCAAATACTTTGGAAGCCAAATGAGAAGAGAGAAGTCTTTGGAAAAGACTGATGTTGGGAAAGATTGAAGGCAAAAGGGAGAAGGGGACAGCAGAGAAGTAAATGGTTAGATAGAGTCATTGATGGAGTGGGCATGGGCTCGAGAAGACTTGGGGAGACAGTGGAGAATAAGGGCACCTGACATGCTGTGGTCCATGGAATCATGAAGAGTTAGACATGACTTAATAATTGAACAACAACTCCCAGTATTTAGGAAAACGACAAATGCATCACTCGCCATCCCTTTAATTGTTATTGATTTTAGATTTTAATTGCAATTTATCTCACTATCAAGTTTTATATTTTTTGTAATTCTCCTTGGATGTCTATCTAAGCAGAAAAGCTGCATATAAGTGTAATAAATAATTACTGTTTCCAAGAAAATATATTACATCTCCTAGGATATTTGAATAAAAAATGTTTAAGCATCTAACAGGGTTAATTATTTTGTCTCACTATTGATGTTGTCTTATTCTCTGATACTATAAACTGATCTATATTTCAAAGTATCATCTCTTGTATATAGCGAATCACTATTAAACCAATTTAACTAGATTAAATCAGTTTTTCTCAGATAGAAAAGCTCGAAAGAGAACATAATTGCAGTCTTTGAATATATGAAGACAAAATGTTGCTGAAGAAGGCAGGACTGTAAACAGTGGGTAGGAATCTTGAGAAGTCTTGTCAGCCAAATATTAAGATTTATTTTCTAATTGCTTGAACTATTACTAGAAATATGCTGCTGTGTGGGCTTTTCTTGCTTGAATGAATTTAAACATACACAAGGTTGCTATTTTTAAGGAATGCTGTAGTAGAAGGTTCCTATTTCTGAGGATCATTTCCAAGACGTCTTCTAATTCTAAAATTCTAAAATCAATTCTAGAGTATTTGCATCCAGTTTCTTCCTGAAAAATGCCAACATTTTCATTCAATTGCTAATCTAAATATGTTTGTTTCCACATATGAATCCTAATTTATTGAAGTTTTCAGTCCAACCCTAATGTTTTTTCCACAAATAATATACAGTCAGAGATGAGCTTATGGGTTTCCAGGGGAAACTTCTATTCTAAAATAATACAAGTAAAAGAAATACTGGATTTCTGGAATTAAATATGGTAGGGAAGAGTTGATACTAAAAGGTTTGTGTCTGATGAAGCAGGACCACTCTATAAAATAGGTAAGCAAGTTATTGTAGTTAAGTTATCTGTAACCCTGGCATCTGTGGTAAAGGACTCTTAAAATCT